TCAATTTGCCATTATTGTCATTCTTATTATTTCTTTAGCTGCATCTTTATTAATTTTATGTTTAATTGGTCTATATTGATGTATACCTTTTTAGTTTTTATGTTCTTTTGATAATGTTGTTATGCTTATTCTCAATATTTTGTTTTATATGTGCAATATCCTAATTTTTTTACTGTTAATTCTTGAGTTTTATGTTGTTTTACTGTTGATTCTTGAGTTTTATATATCATTCTTCCTGCACATGGTTGTATTGGAAATTAGTTTCTACTTATAACATGATTTGGTTTTTAGTAATATTTATTACTCTTGTTGTGAGTGCTTGGAATAAGGAAATGGAATACAAAAATGTGCATAGCCCAAAAACCCTAGCTTATATACATGAGCGAGTGGTTTGGCTTGAAACTAATATAACAGCTATCACTACACTAATATTAGTATACCACATAATAGTTGTATATTTGGACCTCACATCATCCCCTCTTCTTGGATGGATAGAAGACAATCAGAGTTTTCTCAATGGACAGGTCAGGATTTGATAGAACATTAGGAGGAGGTAGCGATGGATCTATAAGTTGTGTTAGTTGTTCCTGATCCCTTTGCATGAAGCGTTTTAACTGTTATATATACATAATTTTTGGAGGATCTGCTTGTTAAACATCATGTTGAACCTCATAAACTTGTGATCCAACTTACTACAACACAATATGGTCCCTTCCACTAAACAAGGAGCCCCTTAAATAAACCACATACCATAAGATTGGGAAAATGAACTAACACTATGTTATCCATTTTATACTTTGTAGGTGGACAATAATAAAACTTGTAATACCATTGTTGTCCCACTTTTACATAGCCTAGATGTTTAGTCCAAACATCCAAGTTGTCAATACCTCTTTCAAATCTATAAACACATTCAAAGTCCATAAACTAGATGAAAGATGATATTAATGACTTTAATAATACTTGCAATGGTTCAGTGCGATCAGAAAAATAATCAATAAAATGACTAAGATATTGCACCTTGCTCATGAAACATTGTACACCATTCACACATATCAAAGTAAAGAACTTTAAAACAACCACAAGTTTGTTATGATCAACTTGTATAAGAAAGACGGTATCCAAGATAAGTTATGTCCTTGGACCCAAACATGCATGTCAACCACTTCAACTTTAAACAAACTTCCTATAACTAATCAAAAACCTTACGAATATCACAAATGTGTTCCTCCCATATCCCCTCCAAATGAATCAAGACATCATTGATGAAATCAGCAGTCACTTTCGGTATATCACAAAGAACTTCCTTTATCATCCACTAAAAAGTTCCTGGAGCATTATTCAAACCAAACGGCATCACCAATAACTTGTACAAAAAGCAGTTTTAGGAATATCTTTCTCGGCCATTGACACTTACCAATACCTAAAAGCAATATCTAATTTAGTGAACCAACAACTTCCTAGAATATCCAAGAGTTTAGCAATGTGAGGAAGAGGGTACACATCCGGGATTGTCAATTTGCTTAATAAATGATAGTTGATGTAAAAACAAATACTCCTATTACACTTTATTACAAAATGAGATTCACATGCCCAAAGACTCCATGACTTTCCAATAACACCCTTTCTAACATTTCTTTGATGTTTACATGTAAAATCTTAGACTCTTTTAGTGATCAACAACTAATAGCAACCTTAATTGGACGAGCATCCCCAATTGGAATAGGATGACATATTGCAATTTTAGCCCCAAATGACAGGTTGAATTCAAAGAGATCAACATACTCCTTTATGAGCCAATCACCTGTTGCAACACAAAAACCATTAGAAGGATCGGAAGAGGGAATAAAAAAACAAGGTAGAAACATAGAAGGAAGTAATGGAGAGACAAAAGTGATGAAAGCAGAGGTAAAAATAAAAACACAAAAAGGAATAGAAATGAGAGAGGAATGGAAGAAATATAAAAAAGTATAAAATAAAGGGAAGAAGCCTTATGGTCACATTTGGCATGATTATGCCTCAACTAATCCATATTAAGAATGATGTCAAAAGCTTGACTTGGCATCACTTGTAATAACTGCAGCTCAACTCAAGACACGCACAACTAGATCCACCTTATCTCTTGCGTATGCGCGTGTATAGCCATTGCCATAAAGAATAAAATTGGCTCTGTTGCACAATACAAATGTAAACAACAATATATACTAATAGGCCAAGCTATATCAACAAACACAAAGAGAATAATAAGAAATCTTTTGTTATAAAAATGAGGTTCTACTTGCACGATTCCTTATTTCCCAAAAGCATCTCGGTGTCTAGACCTTTTACTACAACGGCACCAATAGGATATTGTTGATGCTAAAGTCTCCACTTAAGAAATGAAGCTCACCAATCCGGAAAATACCAATAACGCTAATAAATGTGACCAACTTCATCATATGTTTAACAGTGGATATCACAGCCATAACCATATTCTTGCCCTTATCTTTAAACTTGGGCAGCAATAGCATTAACCTCAACATCAACCTCTATTGGAACAAGATCATTTCCCACATAAAGTGGAGCTAGAGGATGTGCAACAAAAAGTGGAAAAAGCAATGTCTTATAACGTTGTGCTAAGTGAAGAGTATTGTCAAAAGTGGCATGTGTAAGTCCTACAAAATCTTGTTGAAATGCTAGTTATAACATTCTCAATTTGATCCACTCTGACATATTTTGCTCTGCACAAAAAAATAAGTTTCGGAAATGAATGCTAAATTGCATCATGGATTCAAATGGCCCTTAACAAAAACGATGCAATTGTTGGAAGGCATCATCATAATCATCGGCATGGCCAAATGCATGTTTGAAGATATATGAGAGAATGCTCTAATCCTCATGAATGTCTGTGCTAAAACCATTGTACCATTGCAATGCCGTCTTTTGAAGACACGTGGGAAATTCATACAAACGCTGAGCATTATCCCAAAAATAATATATGGCAATCACTATAAATTGATCAAACCAAAGGTACACATTATCCCCACTCCCATAGAAGCAGTTTGGCTAGATACAAGGATTGACAGCAAGAATAAGAGGAGCTATACCAGAAAAAAAGAGAAGAAATGGAAAGAGATATAGGACATCTAAATGATACAAAAGCTAAATTTAAACTCAAATCTAAGCACTTTTTAAGGATAATAAAAGTTACATTTCTCCTCCCACTAATGTGAGTGCATGGAATATAGAAATGTGCAAATCAATTAACCCAAAAAACATAAAGGATTGAGTGGTCCAGATTGAAATTAATCTAACAGTAATCAAAATCCCATTACGCTAATATTCATTATAGCCGTCCACTTGGATATTTGATTAGTTCAAAAACTTTAGGTTATATATAGGGTGAAATCAATTTGATAACTATCAAAATCCCACTATAATAATAATAATATATAAGTGTATATTTAACCTAAGAACTCTAACTTATATACATGTGCGAGTGGTCCAAATTGAAACCAATATAATAGCTATTAAAATCCCACTACATTAATAATATAATTTATAAATAGAATTGAGTGGTTTAGATCAAAATTAACTATCAAAATCCTATTATTCTAATAAGTATCATACATTTAATAACTTTTTATAATATATTGAATAACTATTTGAATTAGTTTATTCTTATGTAAATTCAGTCGCTTAAATAAATAACTAATATACATAAATAGTCTCATGAATCTTTTTCAAAGTATAATCTTGATTATTTACTGATTATTATTTTTAATTCAGTCCACTAAAAAATTGATTCTGAATGCTTTACACTGTTGATGTTAAAACTTGAATCTAATGTGATTAAAATACTCATATTTAAACTGTTGAAGCCTTGCCAAAATTGTACTTAAATATATTTTCTTCTCAACCCACACGTAAGATCAAAAGAGAACATATAATACATATACTACTTATATAGCGGGATCACAATGTGGGGATATTTGGATTTGGAACTTCTTACTTCCAACTCTTCTTGGACTGGCATAGCAATGTCTTGCCAACATCTCTATATTTGCATCCTAGACCTATGAACCATCTCGAACGTTTAGTGCAGCTAGCGTAACTGGATCATTCATGTTATCTTTGTCAGTTTCTTCACATCTTCCAAAGCCTTGGGTTATGGGACGCTGCCCTAGAAGAATGCAAATGCTTGATCCGTCTGCACTTAACAATACTCACTCACTTAGCACCATGAACAGATGTGAAGTGACCTGGATGTGATAAGCTGGTGGGGATGGTCATGGTGGTGATCAAATGAAAGTGGGAATTGTTTTCCATTTTTGTTGGAATTTTAAAAGTGCAAAAAAGGAAATCAGTGTCACTGTTGTTTAGTTTTCTTGATAATTAGCAACAGCATTTCTATATCCATCATGTTTTGTCACCAAGGAAAATACGCGAGATCAGCTGACGCAGCTAAATTGGCATCTTTCTTCCCCGGATTCCTTGTTTTAAAAGCCCGTCTCGTCTTTCCTTCGATTGTAATGCTAACTTATCGAATCCGATCGGTGGCAAGCCACGCATAGGGACAAAACACAAACCACTGTTGAGAAATGTAGGAAAAGAGAAAGAAACATCTTTCTTGGAAGAACGCGATATGGAATACGAGTAAATGCCCCCTGTCTTTACTAACAGCTGCATCCACGGAAGCAGATGCCAAAGGCAAAGGTGGAGTTAACGGGGAACAAAACGCTATTGAAAATCGAAAAAAAAATTAGTGTTTACAAGGAGCTAAAAGACGAGCTTTACCAGATACCCACGCGTAATTCACCACATTAGCGACACATTCCTCTTCTCTGCTTCTGTCTCGCATGCTGCGTCCTCTCCCTTGCTCCAGAGATCCTTTCATCCTTTCCTGCCAATATATTACGACGCAGGCATTTAGTCTTCCAAATCCCGTGCTACTCTTACCTTGAGAGCGTAAGAGGGTAGCCAAGCTCACAGGAACAAACCAGGAAGACGATTGGAAAAGAATGAGGACGCAGCAGCAGCAGCAGCTTTTCGGGGATGATCATAACAGCGAGAGCTGCGTCTACGATCCACCAGCAGCGGAAGGATCCTTGAGGTTCCAGATCTCATTGCGGTCCAAAGCAGGCTTGTTACCGCCACCACCTGAAGCAATGAATCACGGGGTTTTAAAACAGGAGCCAGAAGTAGAGCAGGAACGAGAGCAGTACCTTGTGGCCCCAGGCAGCAAACAGCAGCAGCAGCAGCAGCAGCCGCAGCAGCAAACAAGTCGATCCTTGCCATCGCCACCGGGGATCAAGAACAGGAAGAAGTTCGTTGGAGTGAGACAACGCCCGTCTGGTCGCTGGGTGGCGGAGATCAAGGACACCACCCAGAAAATCCGGCTGTGGCTGGGGACCTTCAATACTGCCGAGGATGCTGCTCGAGCTTACGACGAGGCTGCCTGTTTGCTCCGGGGCACAAACACCAGGACCAACTTCATCAACACAGCTCCCGCTTCAGACGCATCGGCTCTTCCTTCCAAGGCCGCGAAGATGCTTCTCTTCCACCGTGGTTCCACACCCAGTAGCTCTACCACTGGCTCGTCTGCTGCTGAGAAGCTGCTCGATTTCTCCAGGCCGAAGAGAACTGCTGCTGTCGGTGATAAGAGTGTCAGCTGCTTTCTTCCTCCACCGAAAAAAATCTGTAGCTCGCTGGCACCCAGCAGCAGGCAGCAGCAGCAGCAGCAGGACGGCATCTTGGGATCGGAATTCACTGCCGAAGGCAGTGGCTTCTACAATCCTAGCTCCGGCCTGTACTCCCTGTCCTCCTCCAGTACCTCACACTATGTAAACTCGGAGGACCTGTCGAGCGTTGAATCGGCATTTGACATCTACTCGGGATTTCCTCAGTCATTCGACGAGATTCCGCTGCTGGAAAGCTGCTGCAGCAACAGTGTTGACGCTTGCATGAACAGTAACGTTGCAAACGTCAGCCTTGGTGTTGAGCAGCAACAGGTCCAGAAAGGTTTCTATGAGAGGCAAAATTCGGCTTCTCTGAATCAGGGGAACAGCGGCCAAGATTGTTGTCTCATGTTGGGAGCAACTTCTTCTTCCATGATGTCTTCTCCGAGCTTGTCGTTGCCTCCCTCGTTTTATTCTCAGAGATCGTCCGCATGGAAGCAGCAAAAACAGGAACCAGAACCCACCGGAAACGAGAATCAGGAGTGTTTATGGGATCTCACCCCTCTCTGCACTGTGAACTAGGTACCACTGTGCCAGAAGTTGATCGTCAGTGGTCTGAGCGAGGAGATCCCATAAACACTTACAGCTCAATTAACCGATCAACAGGGTAGTTTTCGGAACCGCTCACACAGCAACTACAAGAGTGTTACAGTTAGCTGTGTATAAAGTTTTGAAACAAGAAACTACACCTGGAAATTTTACTTTTTATGCTCGCTTGAGTCACTTCGGCTTTGACATTGTGCTTCTGCTACTGGGGCAGTGCAATCTATTGCATTGTCTGGTGCAATAACTTGTTCGTTTTGTCGCCTCCATAGCTATCAAGTACCTGGGACGCTGCTGTCCATTTGACTCTGCTGAGAATCTGAATAAATCAAGCCCAGAAAAACTGAAGTTGTACCTTCGTGTTTACTATAGCTGGCAGTCCAGGATCACGTGAAAACTTCACTTCTGTAGTCCTTGATCCGGTCACAGCGCTCCTTTTTCAAAGCATACAAAGTTCCATGAAGGTACGCCTGCGCCTGAAACAGAAGAACTGTGCGCCTGCGTCAAAGCCCACACTACAAGAATCCAAGCAGCAATTCTCTGCGCTAACCTTTCTTGCTTGGACGTGGACAATCCTCACTTGTCTCTTTTGCTACTTCAAACGATGCTAAGGAAAATGAAAAAGAAAACCAGCTAGCGACTTCACTCGTCCCTTTCTACATAGTGAGCGATTGCAACTTCAGTAGATACCTCTCACCTGCCCGCTGTGGCTGCATTTTCTTCCAAAAAGCCATGCTCTGCGCTCAAGGGAAAGGAACACTTGCATTTTTTGTTATTCTTTGCGCCATCTCCCAAGGCATCTGTTCAGCCAAACACGTCAGTGGAAAACAACGACAGAAAAAGCTCATTTCTCTCACCTGCATTTGCATCTTTCGCAATAACCAGCGCACTTGCATCGTGTCCTCTGTGTGGCCATAGTCACAAACCTTTAACCCCGCTGCAAGACCATTGTTGCAAAGACAATACTTTTAAGTCCAACAGGACAAAAAATGTAAGAAAATACCAACCGCGGCGACAAAAATCAACGTCAGCTGCGTGGGGTACGAAGTATTCCTCCCAGTTACGTCGCGATAAGATGGCTGCATCAAAGCCAAGCTGTGCACTGACGGACGAATATGGAAACGCTTAAGTCGTTGTTGATAGCTTTTCCCTTGGAACAAGCGAAGAGTACCCAGTATTGGGGCAGCAATCAATGTGTGATCTTCTCGATTCATTTGCTTCCATCAATCTTCTTCGTGGGATCAAAGAATGGACAGCAACACCGCCGTGGAGATGTCTCTGATCGTTAACAGCAACGACAGCAGTAAGTAAAAAGAAAATCCTGTGCTCGATCCAAATCTTACCTTTGTTCTTTGATTCACATCCACAGCAGCTGCCGCTACCGGACCTATCGCTGCCACTCCACCCGCGAGCAAATTCTTTCTCCACGACTCGAAATTCCGGCGATTCCTAGTCTCCAAGCCGCTCGAGACCCTGCGATCCAAATCCCGGCTCCACTGGCTGCTCCTCTCGCTCAGCATCCTTTCGATGCTGACCGGGATGATCGCCGGGCAGCTGCTCACGCGATTCTACTTCGCGGCCGGGGGATCTCGCAAGTGGCTCTCGACATGGCTCCAAACGTCGGGATGGCCGCTGCTGGCGGTGGCCACTGGATCGATCTACTGGAAGCGCGGCATCAAGCTCACGCCGCTCACCCCGGCGCTCGCCGCGACCTACATCGCACTGGGATTTCTTGGAGCCCTAGATAATTTCATGTATGCCTATGGCCTGGCATACCTCCCGGCCTCCACGAATGGCCTCCTCTCCTCCAGCCAGCTCGCATTCAATGCGATCTTCGCGCTGATCATCACGCGCCAGAGGATCAATCCCTTCGGGTGGAACGCGATCGTGCTGGTGAGCAGCGCCGCCATGATCTTGGCGCTTCACTCCGACGATGAGAAGCTCCCGGGCGTGACGAGGAAGGAGGTCGTCCTGGGCTACGTGATGACGATCGGCGCCGCGGCGCTGTTTGGATTGCTCTACCCTCTCATCGAGCTTGCAATCCGGAAATTTCTCACCAGATCGAGCGACGGCGGCGCCGCCGCCGTCGTGTTGGAGATGCAAACCCTGCTCTCGCTCATCTCCACCGCGGTGGCCAGCGTCGCCATGGCGATCAACCACGATTTCCTGGCGATCCCGGGCGAGTCGCGGCGATTCAAGGCCGGCGCTGCGAGCTACTACCTCACGCTCGTCTCCACCGCCGTGTCGTGGCAATTCGCATTCTTGGGAACGCTGGGGATAATCTTCCTCTCCTCGTCGCTGCTCGCGGGCGTGATTTTGGCGCTCGCGATTCCCATCGGCTCCATATTCGCGGTCATCTTCTTTGGCGATAGCTTCGGCGGCGTCAAGATCATGTCCATGCTGCTCTCGCTCTGGGGATTTGTGTCTTACACCTTTGGCGGATACGTGGACATGAAGAAGGCTTCCAAGTTGGAGCCCTAAAATAAAGAATATTTTAGTTTTCGTCTTCTACCAAAGGAAAAAAATTAAGGATAAATATTCATTAGACCCCTAAAGAACACATCTTAAATCCATACCAACACCAGCTTTTTGTCAAATCTAACACTGTGTTTGCCACATTTTCGATTTAGGTTAGAAGCTTTTCGTTATGTTCACATAACAACATTACTCTTGCAGCTGCGTCACATGAGTTGGTTAGGATTTTATACTTCATGTAAGTGTTATAAACAAGATCTAGGTGCTGATTAAATCCTTGATGTACTGCTCCAACTTCTGTAGGATGAGCGCCAAAATCACTCTTGCAAGCAATGACAAGGAGAGGAAGATTATCCACCAGCCTTCTCAAGAAAGCGAATTGACACGACATGGTGGTCATGAGGTAGTAGTTTGCAGCACAATCCCTTCATCCATCCCTTCTCTCATCCCATGATGAGTAATTTTTAAAAATATATATATATATAAATAAATAAACCCAAAAAAGCTATTTGTCTTTTTTTCTTGGCCATCATTAGATGTTTTCCTATTTATTTAGCTCTCCAGACTGTGGCATATTAGTTAACTAATTAGTTGCTGACTTAGTGTTCTCTAGAGATAGTCAAATTGAACCCTGAGCTCTGACCTTCACCTTGGTCTGCCACCAAACGGCAAAGACAATCATCTAGGCAACCTATTTAAATCCTTTGGTTTCATGGGTTGTAACGAGACCATGTAAACAGAATATAAATGAATGAATGAATGAAATATGTTAGACTTGGTGGTGGTCCTATATTTATTCACCCTCACTGGCAACTATTGCTTTATCATACAACTTTTGCTTTTCTTTTTCTTGCTCCTTTCTTTTATTCCTTCATTATACTTGCTGCATGCTCCATATTTGTATATTAATTTCTAAGTATACCAGCATACGATCAGTCTTTTCTATTTCTATCTATATGTTCTTCCTAGCTTTTTGTCAAATCTAAGATTTTACCTATCACTGTGTTTACATTTGCTCTTCCATTTTAATCCTCATTTCTTATACCATGCCACACTGTCATTCTCGATTTAGGTTAGAAGCTCTAAGTGCTACTTCGTTGTGTTCACATAGCAACACACTTTTGCAGCTGCATCACATGAGTATATATTTGTTTGGATTTTACACTTCATGTAAGTATTACAAACAAGATCTAAAACAATATATAACATGTTATGTAATTGTATTGGTACTGCTAAAATCCTTGGTGTATTGCCATTTTCAACTTCTATAAGGTGTGATTACAATGTTGCTTCTCTTATCCTCATAACAAGGAATTCAGAGATGAATTGAAAATATCAGAATGTAATGGTGCCATTCTTTAAATTTGATGTTTAACTTCCTTTTTTTTTTCTTTCTAATCTTATATTTTTTCTTGGTCTTTACCACACCTTGTGCTACCATAGGGCTTTATCTTCATTTACAACCATTTCTTTTTTCTCATGATCTTTCTTATGATTGCATGGTTTCACAAAGGTTCTGGGCAGCTCAAGAACAAGAGAGTTTAGGATAAAAGTGTTGCCTTTGTTCTTAGTGATCTTATGCCTCTAGATGGGTGCTATAAACCCCCAAAACATGATAGGTGTTAACAGATCCCAATTATTTCTTGCACATTGATCACTAATGACTTTTAGTGACTTGTTTTGTCCCATTCCCCTGTTTTAATCGTTTAGAGTGTGAATGTCACTAAGAATTTTTTTCTTACTGTTTTTCAATTTCATTCTCTTGAGAGAATGATCCCATTTTCACATGCTTTTTTCCTCAATTTTTCTTCTTTTCCATGATTCTTTCTTTAGAAAATGGATGGATGAATAAGAGTCTAGCCATAATGATAGAGTGAAAATAAGGATGAATAATTAGGATTGTGGTGTAAAGACTGTGATCAAGGGGCTGGAGGATTGACAAGGCATGCAGACTCTTCAAGGGGCACTCCAAAAGTCAAAGGTCAAGAAGCTGTTTGCAATTGCATACACCTACTGCAATGATCTGATATCATTGATCTGATATGATCTGCAGCGATACTTAGTTTAACCACTTTTAATATCCTAGGAATTTATCATAAATACAATGCAAACCATTTTTAAGTCAATTAGAAAACTTCTGGTAAGCTAAATTATCATTCTAGTCATGAATTAAATGTAAGTGGGCCTTTAAGAGATTTCCACTAGTCATTTATATATCTTTAAGACAAAATGATTTGGAGAAAGAATAAGCAAGTAGAACTAGAAATGAAGAAACACTTGAGCACACAGAGAGACTACCAAAGAGAACTTAAGTGGATAGAATACAATGCCTCAAACACATGAGGTGACGTCAACTTTCTCTCCCAATCCATGTATTTTTCATTGCAAATGTTGACAAGTATGTAACAGCATGCACGACATGATAAAATTACAAGTTTCTGTTAACTCTATGATTTGCTATTGTTGAACAACAACATTTTCAGCTAGATTATACTTAATTCGAAGCTTACACATCCCCAAAATGTAATTTAAATAATAACTATAAATTAATACCAAGTGTGCAGCAAATTATTACTAGACATAATGAAGGAATAAAAGGAGGAGCAATAAGCAGAAAGAAAAAGCAAAAGTGTATGATAAAGCAACGGTTGCTAATTAGGGTGAATAAGTATAAGACTACCACCAAGTCTAACATTTCTTGTGCCAAGCCGCAAAGACAGCACCTAACTAATTAATTATGAACTCCTTAATGTAGAGAACCATGCCACGGTCTGGAGAGCTAAGTAATGCCACCTAATCTCGATTTGCCCATTGTAGAGGTGGTGTTTTTGCAGATGTGCTGGCAGTCGAAGAAGATTAGGAAAACATGGTGGTGGGTACTACATGACCATATCTAATAATAGTGGCTGGCAACTTTTCCTTTAGCATTGATCTTCTGGGTTCAAGTTTTGCCTCCATCAATCTTCTTCTTGGGATCAAGAATGGACAACAACACCACCGTGGACATGTCTCTGATCAATAACGGCAAGAACAGCAGTAAGTAGAGAGAAATGAGAAAGAAGCAAAATGAAGGAACAGAAAAAAATCTTTGCTCGATCCAAATCTCTAATTACCTTTTGTTCATCCACAGCAGCTGCGGCTCCACCCGCGAGCAAAATCTTTCACCACGACTCAAGATTTCGGCAATTCCTCGTCTCCAAGCCCCTCGAGGCCCTGCGATCCAAACCCCGGCTCCACTGGCTGCTCCTCTCGCTCAGCATTCTTTCGATGATGATCGGGACGGTCGTCGGGCAGCTGCTCACGCGATTCTACTTCGCGGCCGGGGGATCGCGCAAGTGGCTCTCGACATGGCTCCAAACGTCGGGATGGCCGCTGCTGGCAGTGGCGACTGGATCGATCTACTGGAAGCGCGGCATCAAGCTCACGCCGCTCACACCGGCGCTCGCTGCAACTTACACCGCACTGGGATTTCTTGTGGCTCTATATAGTTTCATGTATGCCTATGGCCTGTCCTACCTCCCGGCCTCCACCAGCGGCCTCCTCTCCTCCAGCCAGCTCGCATTCAACGCGATCTTCGCGCTGATCATCACGCGGCAGAAGATCAATCCCTTTGGATGGAACGCGATCGTGCTGGTGACCAGCGCCGCCGTGATCTTGGCGCTTCACTCCGATGACGAGAAGCTCCCCGGCGTGACGAGGAAGGAGGTCGTCCTGGGCTACGTGATGACAATCGTCGCCGCGGCGCTGTCTGGATTTTTCTTTCCCATCACCGAGCTTGTAATCCGAAAATTTCTCACCGGATCTTCCAGATCCGGCGACGCCGCCACCGTCTTGTTGGAGATGCAAACCCTGCTCTCGCTCATCTCCACCGCGGTGTCCAGCGTCGCCATGGCGATCAACCACGATTTCCTGGCGATTCCGGGCGAGTCGCGGCGCTTCAAGGCCGGCGCTGCCCGCTACTACATCACGCTCGTCTCCACCGCCGTGTCGTGGCAATTCGCATTCTTGGGAACGCTGGGGATGATCTTCCTCTCCTCGTCGCTGCTCGCGGGCGTGATTATGGCGCTCGAGATTCCTATCGGCTCCATTTTCGCGGTCATCTTCTTTGGCGATAGCTTTGGCGGCCTCAAGATCATGTCTATGCTCCTCTCGCTCTGGGGGTTTGTGTCCTACACGTATGGCGGATATATGGACATGAAGAACAAGAGCGAGCCCTAAAAGAGAGCATATTCTACTTTTAAATTTGAATATACTTTCAAACAAAAATACACAAGCACATAAAAATTAGCGTAGTGGAAGACACGATCATGCGTGGTTGCGATGCTTTGATAAATGCAAGAGTCGGGCCTTCATAGATTCCTACACGAATTATCAAAGTAAAAGATCAAGACAAGAAAAAGAACTCGTTTGTAACTTACTGGCGAGCATGTAAGATCCAGGCCGGGTCACAAGCGTAGTCACGTAAGTCCCCTCTTGATCTAGCTGCGCAGCCACAAGTTCCCACATTGTTGTCACGAGAATGGGCGATTCTCTGGTGTAAATAAGTTGGAGCTCATTCGTATAATTTGCTGTTGCGTTTCCTGTCGAGATTGCCAATGGCACTGTGGGACTGCTCCTGTTAATGAATGCATTCAAGTCGTGAGCCAGAAACTATAAGAAAGCTTACTCGTTCGTCTTTCTCAGCATGAGGAAAATTGCAAAAGGCTGCTCGTCGTATGATGTTGAAGCCAGGGATGAAACGTTGGAAACTGGGACGCAGAGCCTGGCTACAATTCCCATGTCCAAAGCATTTCCGCTAAGAGCAGCTGATGCGTAAGGACTAGAACTTAGTTCATAGTGACTTTCGCGAAGGCTCTTAGGAAATGCTATGATCGTCGCGCCGTCATATGTCGAAACTATGGTTCCACTTTGCGACAATGGAAACTTACATGTTCCTGAAAACAATAAGTCAGGAGAAAAGTATAGCAAAGCCAAAATTACCTGGAGTTCTACAAATGCGATAGCTCGAGTTCGTAGAGACATCTGAGGAAAAAGCGGAATGATAGAAAAAAGAGTAGCTAATCAAGAAAATAGCTTGTGGAGGATTCGGATCCACATTTCCGGCGGCATCAATCGAGCGCGCGTGAAAGATGTAAAGCGAGGCCGGACATAAACTGTATGTTACCAGCTGCCTGCTACACTTTCTCCACGAATGTCTCTGGCCCTGCTACACAGACCTGAGTTCGCAACAAACTCAAAAGCTGCAAGATAAAATTTCACCTGTGGATCCAGTGACTGCAGCATACATTCATATCTTTCGATACCCCCGCCATCGTATCCAGAGAGTTCAAAACTGGGACTCAAGGTGTTGACAACGCTACTACGAATCAAAGTTTCCGGCGTGCCCGTATCTGAGAGAAAGAAAAGAAACAGTTACTATGAATCTATAATGCCTAGGATGCGCTTACCTATGTACCACTTGCAGCCACTCCACAAAGAAAACGAAGATAGGTACCTGACTTTGAAAGTGTGTGCTCCATCCACCAGAGGTCCGACGCAGTAGGGGCTTCCACAAGCCACGGGTACTTGCTCATCAACTTCACACTCGGTCCAAGATAACGAGCTGTTGAAGGCCAATGTAGCTATCTGAAGGCGCGTGTAAGCCTCGGGGCACACCAGTCCATGAACTGCGCTCGAGTTTGACGTTAGAACCAGCTTTTGCTCTGCGTGATCCAATGCTATGTTGGAAGCTCTGTCCTCGGCTTTAACCATGAACGTATGCTCCACTCCAGGTGCTAAATAAGATTTCTCCACTCTCCATGGACTCGAGCACGGCATCCAAGTGCCACCCTGCACTTGAGAGTCGAGGCGACAGTAGGATGTAGCAACACCAGATGTAGATCCAAGAGGCCCATCATCCACCGAAAACTCCGCAGTTACTACCTCCAGATCTGGCCGAGAGAGCACAAATGAGACAACCGACGGAGGCGTCGTATCCACGAGAAACCTGTGCTTGATGACGAGTCCGGTGTTTCCAGCTAAATCTGTTGCCGTCACGCTGAACTGATAGGCACCGTCCTCCAGATTCCGAAACCTTGCCGGGCTTGTGCACTGTTGCCAGCGTTCTTCTTCCCCGGTGTTTAGCTTCGTCATGCAGCAAGTCGTTGTTGACACCTCCGACGACGCAAACGCATAGCTGACATCTCTGGACGACGAAAACAGCGGCGGTACTGCGAAGAACAGCACTTCAGGAGGCAAGCTATCGATGATGACCGTGCAAGTGGCTGGAACGCTGCTCAGAGCACCTCCGCTTTCATTTTCCGCTGCTCGTACGCTGACTATATAGATCCCGTCGGGCAGATTACTCAGTTCCAACGGAGACGAGCACGACCTCCACCCGTAAACGGCGGCCCCTTCAATATCTGACAGGTTTAAACGGCATGACCATCTTGGTTCCTGTATACCTGGGAGATTTGGCACGTCAAGCTCGAAGTAAACACGACAAGTTGAAACGTTGGTCAAGTCCTTGGGTAGTATCGTAACTATCTTTGCTCTTGGACGTTCCCTGTGAAGTAGCCAGTGGACAAATACTGGTTGTGGATCTTGGTTGCCTGCTTTGTCAACTGCTCTGACATGAAAGGTGTACCGTCCGTCTGACCGTGCCTCGACTTTGACCGGAGACCCACAAAGCGTCCATCCATGACTCGAGAGGATTCCAGACGTGAACTGGCACTCGAAGTGATCCGTGTCAGCTGAATCAGATGAGAACTCAAACACTGGGGTCTCGCAGAAGACGGATGCTGACGACGATAGCAAAATTGTGCGAGGCGGTATGGTATCAATAGTAAAACTAGCGAAAGAAATCTCAGAGTAAGCAGTGTTCAAGAAGCTGCACAAAAAGCACGACTATTATCCCGCACCAACTAAACAAGTCCACGTACCTTTCATCCCTTGCTTGAACAGAAAAAGTATAAAATGCATCTGGAAGGCCTTCAGTGAAGTAGTCATTCCCACATATTTCCCAGTCATGGGCCTTGGGAGTTTCAATGGATGCATCAAGCCTACAAAACCACTTTATGTACGGACCAGAAGTTCCTTCCACGGTGATGCGAACATTGGCGATATTCCCGAATAACGGAGGAACTTCAACTGGATTGATAACTGCAAACATTCTAGTTAATGGTCGAGAAGAGAACATTGTTGCATATGGTAGGCTGGTACCTAAGCATGGTGTTGCACTCAAAGACGCGGCGCTTGCAACAAATGCAAAACGTTGTCCGAATCCGTCTGGACCTTCTTCTGGTACATAATAACCATAAATCACTGCAACATAAAGTCCAGATTCTGGATCCGAAACAGACACCTACAACGTGAAGCGTCTTAAATCTTGCAAAGACATAAAATATTCCAACCTGTTCAACATTGTTCATTCTGTCAGGACGTGGACCACCGTTTCCATACCGCTTGGTATTACTTGGATCAATCACGAACAAGTCCAAATCATTGACAAGGATGACACTTGCAGCCGGCAAGGCAGGCGGATCGTACCTGCAAAATACATCTGAGACGACTATAAACTGTTCCTCCAAGTCACTATACCATGCCAGCGTGAATTTCAAGTCCTCGGAGCCAGGAAAGCATGAGAAGCAATAACGTTGTCCAAATCCAGTTTTTAACGGGTTGCCTTCCTCCGCTGTAACGTTTAGTTTGTTGTGACCAGGGAGAAACAACGAGTGAAGAAGATCAATTCTTCCATAGCCTTGATTGAAGGAGAGTGGAGGATCTATGATCACTCCATTACCTGCTTAAAACTTCAATATCAGCATACATCGTGTCTGAACAAACAAACCATTTAGTCCTCGCAGAGGCACAGCTCCATTAATAAGAATGGCTTTCACCAAGGCTCCCGAAGGTTGCCGAGAATGTGCGAGTACCTACAGTAACCGAGCTGTCAATTGAATTGCTGCAGCTTGACAGACAACCTTAGATCCTGTGGGGTAGAATCCATCCATAAAATATTGACGGATGAGTGCTGCTCCTCCTGCTGTAATTGGTGTCGCCATCGAAGTTCCTGATAAAACTGCAGTGGAATGTCAGCGAAGACTAAACACAAAGAACCACGACAACAACCTAAGGTCCTGCATGTGGCTTCTTTCGAGTCCATGTTGCTCTTGGCAGAGACAATCTTGTCACCTGCAAACAAGCGCGACGTCAGCTCAAGGAAAATAGTCTCGTTTGGAAAACCTGGCGCAACAGTTTCTGGTTTTTGACGTCCGTCCAGCGTTGGACCCCACGAAGAAAAACTTGTCATGGAATCAATGCGTTCTCCATTAAAGGGAACGTGGCCGACCACTTCCACAAATACTGAGTCACCGTGCGTGAGCATCGAGTCTAGATAATCCCCGAAAACTCTGGGAATTGAACCGCTTGGAATGGTTATACTCTCCAGTGACGATCTTAACGACAACGGAAAGTAGCCTGTGTTTTCGTTGTTGAAAAACACGGCTGCCACACTACCGGCGTCTTGTATGGCAACAAGCTGCAACGATAAGAAAAGGTTGGCATGTACACTTAATCAAGGAAATTGTACCTTATCAATGCAGTCACAGCCTTCTCGACTTGCCAGCACCACCATTCCTGCTGCGTTGGGAGGTGAGATACATGCCTCTCCCGGTATTGCTCGTAGTAGCGGAAATGGACCCCAATTATCCTGAAACATTACTCCGAAAGAGTTCTCTAGCACCCCGACCCGCAAGTCACTGGTCCCGTTCAAAACGTAAAAACGTAAAAGAGCAAGGTTTTCATGACGTATGGAATGCCCTGGGCCCATACTCGCGCCTACAGTTAAACTGTTTTTTGACATTGCTGGAGAAGTAATAGTTCCTGCAAAACTTCAGAAGGGTCTCGAATGAATGAAACTAAAGAAAAAAGTCAGTCTTACCTACAGAGGAATAAGACGAGCCAGCATTGCCCGCAGCAAAAACAGGTAGGAAAGCCTGGAAAATGCAGAAACAAGGGAAAACGTGATGAATATGGGAAAAAAAGAGAATTTTAGAGATCTTACAGGATTGTTGTAGGTGAATGCATCCACACTTCGTGACATAAGGTTATAGGAACGATCCACAGTTGTCCAAGAATCACTATGAATTCTTGCACCCAGACTGTATGCCTCCCTGTGGGTATTCATCTGAGAAATAGCAGGTTAGTAGACATAAAACACCACACAAGCAGACATACCAGTAATAATCCGAAAGATCCATGGGTGGCGTGACATAAGTGTTCTTTCCAACGCCAATGTCCGTGAAGACAAGCTTCGCATGAGGCGCCATGCCGTTGTACTTGCTGGATTCGATAGTAAAGTCACTGAGTGTTTGATCGCACTGACCAAGAAGAGAACCAGCAACATGAGAACCATGACCATAGCTGTCGATCAAGTCTCCACCCCACATCACTCTGTAAGACAGCACCTTCCTGTGGTTTGGACCTGGCGAAGAAACTTGCTCGTCCCGAAAGTAGCAGCTGTTTGACATGAACAGTGTAAAGATCTTTTAGAAAAGTATACGTACCTCAGTAAGTCGACACCACTGTCACCAACACCAACAATTTGGCCGTCACCCATGATGCCCATGCCCCAGAGTGGTCTGCTCGGAAAAAAAGGAGCTCCTCTCTCCAGAGGAGCCGAGACGCCACTCTGTTGGATTGCGGATGAAAACATATTGCCAAGTCGTCCCCTGAACGCTGGAGCGATCCAAGTTACCCATTCTTGCTTCGACAGCCATTCCACATACTCTCTGGCTTGATCCAGCGGTATTGCTGCTTGCAGTGCCGCAGGTTCTAGCTTTTTGAGCTCCACGACCTTACCATGCTCGTTTAAGCTGGAGTTCCAGTGTTGGATCAAAAGCTCCAGGATATCGACCTTAGTTGTGCATGGCTTAGAAACAACTCCAGCAGCTGTTAGCACAGTAGCCACCACACGTCCCTGGCTATCAAAGAGGACGTCTTCTTCGAGTTTCTTCGCAAAAACTTCCTGCCACTCCGGAGCAACCTTGTATCGAGACTTGTACTCCCCAATCCAGGAAACACCCTTGGTTCTCTTCACACGATCCACCTCCAAGTTTTTTGGAAGAAAAACGTTCCAGCTATGGTGTGGCAAGTAGTGGACGATAGCACAGCCGAGCTTCACTAGATCATCTCGGACTCCCGCATTGTCCCCTCGGCCGCTAAGCTTGACGATCACCTGTTTTGCAAGCTTCTCATACGCACAGCCCGACGAGCCAGTCTCGCCAAGATCGCGTGATGGAGCAAGCGCCGGCGATTTTCCAATGCGGATCTCCGAAATATTTGGCGCATTTCTAGTGTCGATCTTCATACGGCGCAGGCAGACGTGATAATGCTCGCAGCCGATCGCCACAGCCGCTAGGGCTAGCAGCAGCAGCAAAAGCAATGCCCGATGCATCGAGACCGAGATTATCGTCTAGCCGTCTCCAAAGAATGATCACATCCGAGGAGCGCCTACCCGATTTTGCCGATGGAATCCATCAAAATGCGAGACGCTCGCCTCGCCAAAGAAATATTAGGGTTCGTCCAAGAAAAGGATATACCAGATATTATGCTCAAGGGCAAATGGTAATGGCGGCCGCCGTGGACGCGAGCTGGCTGTGGATTGGCAGCGAATGCGGGCGGAGGAGCGTCAGAAGGCGCGGGGAGATTTTTCCATCCGCGATTCAGAGATGCCAGAGGAGGTTTGGATTGTGGAAGAATCACCGCCATGCAATTGTTTCCGGCCCTCCTCCTCCATCGAGAATCCCTATCGGCGGCGTGAGATTTTCTTCTACTCTCGCTGGAACCGGCAGTGTTCTCGGGAAGGTAAGATTGGCAAAAAATCTCTTCTTCCTCTCATCGATTTTTTTTCCTTGCAGCCTCCAAAAACTGAGGAGGATACCTCGATCTTATCAGATTTTCTTTGCTTTCTCAATGCGTCGTGGACTCCTTTCCATGCTACGAGTAAGTTGCTATAGAGTGAGTAAGTTCTTCTCGACCGATAGATTCTTCCTTACAACTCTTTCTTTCTTCTCTGATGGATTAGTGGAAGCTAAGAAATTGCTACTGGACGCTGGATTCTTGCAACTAAACGAAGAAGATGAGTGGTCCATTGAGCCTGGAGGTCGCTATTTCTTCACCAGGAACATGTCAACATTGGTGGCATTTGCCATAGGTCAGAAGTATGTCAATTGCAGTTCTTTTTTACGTAGATAGGCAAAGCTTTTACTTCTCACGCGATTGTTTTTTCTTTTTCTTTTTCTTTTCTTTGCTGCTTGCTACATACAGGTATCAAACAGGCAATGGATTTCACGTGGTTGCGGCACACACTGACAGCCCCTGTCCAAAGCTCAAGCCCGTTTCAGCGTTATCCAAGTCGGGTTTCTTAAACTTGGGGGTGCAAACTTACGGAGGTGGATTGTGGCACACCTGGTTCGACAGGGATTTGAGTGTTGCCGGGCGAGCTCTCGTGAAGGGCAAAGACGGAGCTCTTGATCACAGGCTCGTGCAAGTCAATGATCCAATTTTGCGGATTCCAACCTTGGCTATCCATTTAGACAGGTTTGTTTTTGCTACCATCTTTAGCTTGCTGATATCTTATTTGGTGTAGAAATGTGAACACTGATGGTTTTAAGCCCAACTTGGAAACGCACCTGGCTCCTGTTCTTGCAACTAAAATCAAATCGGAGCTTGCACATTCAAACGATGGTAATGGTGCGATATATTCGAATGCCAGTGTCCATCATCCTATACTTTTGCAGGTTCTTTTCTACCCTTTTCTTTGTTCCAGAGAAAAGACAATCGTGAAAGTTTGTGTTGTTGTTCCCGCTCAGATTCTTGCCAAGGAGCTGCAGTGTGACATTGAGCAGATTGCGGATTTTGAACTGAATGTCTGTGACACTCAGCCCAGCTGCATCGGTGGTGCAAAGAAAGAGTTTATTTTTTCAGGAAGGCTTGATAATCTAGCGTCGTCATTTTGTGCTCTACGTGCTTTAAGAGACACTTGCAAAGACAAGACCAGTCTGGAAGACGAGAGCTCGGTACGAATGGTTGCTCTTTTTGACAATGAAGAGGTCTGTCAATAGCCCCTTTTCTTCTTCAACAGCTGATGTATCAACAAACTTTTACAGGTTGGTTCGGACTCTACTCAAGGAGCTGGATCGCCAATAATGTTTGAAGCGATGAAACGCATCGCGACATGGTTGTCCCGTACGAGTGACAGTGAGGGGATTGTGGAACGAACAATACGAAAGTCTTTCCTGGGTAATAAGCCTTGCAAATATTTTATATTCTTCTAGAATTGTGTGTTCTCTTTGCCAGTCTCTGCTGATATGGCCCATGCTCTCCACCCCAACTACTCCGAAAAGCACGAAGAAAACCATCAGCCAAAGCTCCATGAAGGCTTGGTGATCAAACACAACGCAAACCAACGATACGCTACAAACTCCGTCAGTGCGTTTCTCTTCAAAGAAGTTGCTCGACTTGCTGGCATACAAACTCAGGTATGCTTGTGTATCAGCAAACGCTTTCGAAAACTCTCTTTTTTCTACTCCTTTTTAGAACTTTATTGTGCGCAATGACATGGGATGTGGCTCAACGATTGGTCCCATACTAGCGTCAGGCATCGGCATAAGGACAGTAGATTGTGGAATGCCTCAGCTCTCAATGCATAGGTATGGTATTTACCACTTAATTTCGCTTCTCGTTGGTGAAATATCCTTGCTTTCATTAGTATTCGCGAAATGTGTGGAACACAAGATATTGACACGGCATACAAACACTTCAAGGCGTTTTATAGAACATTTACCTCCATTGATCAACAGGTTTCCGTGGATAAGTAGGGTCCCCGGGTGTACAAAATTACGGCCATAGTAGCAGTGATCTGAAAAGAATGATAGCAGCAAATTCACAGCCTTTTATTGCCTATGAATGCCATCGACGAGGAGGTCCATGTACTCCATGTAGCAATACGAAGGGTGCTTGGGAGGCTTACCACGGCCGCCATTCTCGAGTATTTCATGATGATCGAGTTGAGCTTCACCTCAGCTTGCATGCGTACAAGAACTTCTTCATGTCGGCCTTGAGCCCCTGTCCTCCTCCGAGAGCATGAGATATCCCGAGATCTGGAGGGACTAGCAACATGGCCGTGTGTCCGATGTTTTCATTAGCAACTGCATCACAAACGAGGCCGTGGTAATTGTCAAAGGGGCTGTGCAAAAAGCTTTGATCTTGCAGCTCTTGAAGCTGTCCATCGCTAAGAGTTAGGAAAGAAGAAGCATGAGGCCACTGTCGCAAACGATCCAGTAGAGGTCGATGGTTCCATACTGCTTCTGGTATTCGCCAGGCCACTGTCGGACAGTGTTTGCCAAGTTCCATGGCATGCTTTATTTCTTTGAGGTAATACTTTATAACAAACAAAAGTATAACTTATGCAAAACATTAGTATGTTGTTGTTAAAGGATGTAAAATTCCACTTTTAATGAGTTTGCTTGTTGGTAGAATTCAAGGGATTGCATCTCTAGAACTTGTAACAAGAGTAAAAATCATTAAAAAATATATATATATTATAATTTTAGAAAGTATATTTTGTCATAGAATGAATTAAGTGAAATAAAAACATGCCTTTTGTGTTAGTCTCATTTCGGTCCCAAATGTTATTTATGGAAAGTGTCCAGATTTTCTCATTTGGCATATCTATGGAATGTAGAGATTGTCTTGACCACAATGGTGTTCATCCCATGTCCAAATTCACAATCTAAAGACATTCCATATTTAATAAGTTTCAAGCTTATCCTAGAGACTAACTCCTGATACTAAAGGAAGTTTGGGGTGAAAGCCCAAAGCGTGTGTTCCTCAAGGGGGGGGCCCTATGGGGGGTTCTAAATGTATAGTAGGGATAATGGGTAGGTCGGGCATGGTTGACCAACCTGAGGCATAGTCTAGCTCTCGCTTGTGTGCTTGTCCTTGTTCTGCGTCCGGCTTGGGTTTAAGCCTAAGTTCCATTCCATGCTAGCTGGTGGCGTACCTATGTCCTTGCGTTAGGCCACCGGTATGCCGAAATAGCACCAAACTCCATTTAGCTCCGTTTTGCGTGCTGGTCCTGGCATTGGGATGCTGGTTGCTCCAGGACTATTCCAAGTCACTTTGGGCTCTTGTCCCTTCGCTCCTTGGGGTGTATGCTCGAAAGTTGCTCCGTGGACCGGTTCCGTCACTCCTTGGCTCCGTGCTTGGGAGTTTGGCACCATTCCTTTGTTCAGTGGCCCAAGGCCCTAAACCTTGAGTTCCACACCACTGTCCTTTGGACACG